CAGCTCAGAGAGCACCAAGGACTCCACAGTTCAATCCTGAGCTACACATATTCTTCTACTGGTATCTATCTAGCTATCTAGCTATCTAAGAATATCACCTTGAGTTCCCAGAGGAAAAGAGAATATAAATGCAATTATTGTTATTAACTGCTTGTCCTTATTTTCCATTATGGTTCAAGTTGACAGCCTCCCCACATGAAAAAGCCCTTGATTCTGAAAAAATGCTCACAATTAATCAGTAAGCTCTGGTTCTTTTCCATTTTTCTAAAGTGACATAATTAGTGCCTAAAATTCAACAGGAAATTAAATAACAGATTAATTAAGTGCTAAATTATAGAGCTTCAACATCCAAGAATTGTTATTGATTTTCTATGTCTGCTTTCGCTGATTACTTTGTACCAGAAAACTACCCCTGACACAGGAAAACACTTTCCACATCAAGCATCTATTTTTGCAAGACAAGCAATGCAAAGTGCATGTGTTAACTCTGCTATGTTGTGGCCAGAAATGTCATTCAAATTTATTTCAATAGTGTTTTTTCCCCCCAGATCTAGAAATAATATGCTTAACTTTAAAATGAGGTAATTAATTATTAGAAAGTATTTAATTGTATTTCTGAAAAAGAGCACATCATTGCAAAAATGGCAAAAAATATTAATTGGTCAAACATATGGGAAGGAAAAAAATAATTACTTATCTGTGATTTATATGGGCTAGTGCTGTCAGCTCTGACTGGCAACAGTCCCTACAAGGTCTCATACTGAGAGTTTTCCCCTATTTGTTATCTGATACGTTTTTAAATAAAAATGACACTCTATAAGAAAAATAGAAGCAGTATCTTGTACAAACCACTTAATCGGCAAGTTTATGTTTAGTTAAAATGTAGCTTGTCTATGATTCCTTAGATAGTATATGATGTTTGCCCCATCTCTGCCTATTATAAAATCCACCAGGATTTTTTCCCTATTTCCAAGCACTTTAGGAAGTCCCTCAAGACCTGGTTATGTCATCAGGCCTGGAGGTCTTTGGGAACCGGAGACATTCTTAGATGGCTTTACTAAGATTGATACTCTGCTCTTGCCGTGGGGTTTGTATATTTAAAAAGTTTTGATAATAATTTCATTTTAATAATTACTTTTTATCTTTTTATAATGATTGTTTTTTATCTATTTGCTGTTTTATTTAATGGTTGTATGCAACCCAGAGTCACTTTACGTGAGATGGGGGGCTATATAAATGTGACAAATAAATAAATACATAAGTACAAATTGCGGAATACAACTAAACCAGTAATAGCTGTCAAAAAAAAGAAAAGAAAAGCAGATTTTTTTTTGTCAGTCCAGCCCTGTTGCTGAAATAGCCAGGGAATATAGGTAAAAATAATGATGTCTTCCCATTATATTCAACTCCTAGTGACTTCATGGACACCTCAAAGCAATAGGGAAATGATCTGTCACTGTCCCCTTCTAGGTTTTTTTTAAATTTCCCAGCCTAGTTTTCAGTGCTGGGATTTCTTGGATGTCTCCCATCCAAGTAGTAACCTAGTCTGACCTTGGTTAGTTTTACTGGATCAGCCAGATGCCATCACATGGCTATGCAACCACAGAATCCTCTAGTATTTTTGCAACACCTAGTTGTTATAATGAAATCTTCAATACAGTTATCTTTATCTATTTTTATAAAGGAAGGCTTTGATAATCCTTTGAAATTACTTCACTCACCAACGGAGGTCCACCCAAAAATATTGTGCCCTGCTTGCCAACTATTATACTTTCATCAGCCATTGCTGGGACATAGGCTCCTCCAGCTGTGCATGAGCCCATAACCACGGCAATCTGAAAAAACAAACAAAAAGATGGTTGATAAGAAATCAGATGCACTCTAAGAATCTAATGCATAACAAACCTAATTCTTCTCTCTGATATATAAACCAAAATTATTGACTACTCTGGAAAGCAACAGTTCTCCTGATTTAACTCCATCATACAAGTAGAGTAGCTTCAACCTTCAGCTAGAACAAGACTGTAGAGTCCCTACTTCATAACCAAGAATCAGCAACCACCAGCAGCAAAAATGCATCTAAGCATCTCAGATTCCCATTCTGAGATCATTTTTGAAACTTCATCATGAATTTCTCAACATACCTTTAGGCTCCAAGTTTCTTTGGAAAATCATCTTTAACTGCAGGAAAGCAGCTCAGTAGAGTGTTGCATATTTTATGACATTTCAATATTTTGTTTTAACTAATAGTACACATAGGGAATAAACTAACCAGGGAAGTTATGTCAAAAGCAAGACAAATTGCAAGGAAGGGAACAACTACGATTCTTTTGGTCTCTACATAGCAGCCACTCGTCTTAGATCATATTGTTGCAATGAATTTGACTTCTTCTAAGCCACTTTAGGATTCAGTCATGGTTGAAAAGTTCAGTTTAAATCTAAATATTTTTGTTTTTCTCTTTCTTGTATCCTGAATTCTTCTGCCTCTCTCTACCTCTTGAATTCTTCTACCTCAGTCATTTCTTTTTTGGTCAGATTTTTTGTTCTTTTCATGTGCTTTTAAACGAGTTTCCAATACCTTCTACTTACACACTTGGACTGCTTAATCAACCCTCATTCTTTTAGATGTGCTGATACTAATCACTTTCTCCTTAATGAGCTTTCCATTCTTATGTATCTGCTATATAACAGAGTTTAATGTATCAATAAAGAGAAAAACAAATGGCAAAATGTGTAACAAGAACTCATCTTCAAGCTCTGATCTTGATTGATTTTATACTTAGTTCAGGAAATTAGCTGGCAATGTTTCATTCTTTTGTGTTACAAAATCATAGAGCTGAAATGGATCATTTAGACCAGCGTTTTTCAAACTTAGCAACTTTAAGATGTGTGGATTTTGACTCCCAGAATTTCCCAGTCAGCTAGGGGGGATTCTGGGAGTTGTTCCACACATCTTAAAGTTGCTAAGTTTGAAAAACACTGATTTAGACCACAGAGCCCAACTTCCTGCCTCGTGCAGTTCCACCTCCACAATCTTTCACAAGTACACCGTGGGCTGTCACAAATGAGGGTGCTTCTGCTTCAACCAACACATCTCCTGCCTGCCAGAGGGACAGTCTCAGCAAGGGAGCTGGCATTGCTTCTTATCCCTCTTCGCTTTGCTCCTGAACTCTCTCTTAAGAATGCCCATTCTTCCTGATCTCAGCAATCAATTCACAGTCATTTGTTTGCTGTGGTCTGTAGATTAGTCACTATTTCAAAACAGTGCCTAGCTAATACATCCAGTGACACATTTTTCTTCCTGAACTTCCTCTACTTTTTCTCTCCCACATAAATGGAAAGATCACGTCTACTTTCCTGGCCTTTTTTGGAGATGGAACTTTGATGTTAAAAAACAAGTGAAGAAAAAAACCCAAAGTGATTGTCAGGCCTTTCTTTCTACTATGACCTAAGGCTGTGCCTCACTACTTTTACTAACTGACAAAATACAGATTCAAGTTTTAATTATCTCTTCCTGTAATATTTGGCTGTTCCTAGTAGAACTTAAATTACTGATCTCTTCCTTAGCTGTGGCTTTTTAGTTTAACTTTTGCTAACCTGATCCTTGGGAAAGATTGGGAAAGAATTTATTGATCAATTTATTATTCTGTCCGGGAAGGAGGGTAAAAAAGCCAAGATGATAACTACACAATCTCCCTGTTTACGCATTGTGATGCAGGTAAAAAAAGGGACAGGCTTCGATTATGCAACTTTAGACACTATCTTGACTTGTTTTACCCTACCTGTGGATGCTCCTGGTTCTATTGTCCCTCTTCATTCACTATCCTCATCACCTTTCAAAAAGTTAATAAATCTATTTACTTTTCACACAGAGAGAAGCCTGCTCTTTCATGTCTTATTTAGAGCTACAATTGTATCTTCTTCTATGATGTCTACAACATACTCAGCACTGTTCACATGGCCATACAGTCCATATTATGAACTCATTTTCTTTCTTGCTCTAATTTGACTGTTTATACTAGAAATTCAGTTCTGACAATATGAACTGAACTGAATCTTAGTCTTTGTACCTATCCACTGCCAAATCATTTACTATGAGCAAGAGTCCTCGGCTTAGGCACTGTCACAGCAGTACTTTCAATTCTACAGAATTCAAAATCCTCCTGACTATCCCTTCCCATCCCTTCTACTAAAAAAACACCAGTTTAGGTCATCCATAGCTAATTCATTCCTCTTTATCAACAACCGAGCTGAAAGTACTACTACACTGTTTAGGGTAGTTTATGCAGTAATTTGACAAGGTATCAAATTTTAGTAGATTTTACAAAAAGCAAGAAACACAAAACTTAACACCGCAATTGTGAGATAATATTTTATCCAGGGACGTCTGTGGGTCAAGTAAAAAAAGCCAAGGCGGGGCTGCAAACATATGATTGAAGCCCTGCCCCTTTTTACATGTGCACATAAAAAAGGGGCAGGATTCAATTACATAGTCATGGCCATGATCTTGATATTTTTTACACATACATACACACACACATACACACAGACACTCCTGACTTTCTCCAAGCCTATTCTGAAAGCTAATATTTTATAAAACCAGAATATAAAGGCTTTTTTAAGCTGCATTCCCAAATCTAAACCCAGCACTGTATGTGAGGATCATTTGCACTTAGATTGGTAAATGGGATAGATCACGCATGCCATCTTCATTATGCTAGTATTGCCAGCAAAATAAGGAAAGAAACTGAGAAGGCAACGAAAAGAAATTAAAGAGGTTAAAGTTGTAACCTCATGCACACTCTGTAAAATAGTGAGTAAATTAGGCTTCATCATTAACTGAACTAGCCTATATTATGTCAGTTACAACTAGTAAGCAGATGTTTTACTGTGCCACAGACAAATAATCTCACCAATTAAGGCCTACTGGAGTGGGTGGCCATGTGCTACTACTACTACTATTACTATTAGTAATACACAGACATCTACAAAAATTAACTTGCATTATGAAGAATAATATTCTCCTTCTTCAGGAAAAATGAAACTAAAATAAAAGAGAAGGAGGGAGGGAGGGAGGGAGTGATTCCAGGGACTCCCAGTTACTACCAAACATGCTTTCAGTAAAGAATGTATGCAAATGGAGAGCACTGAGTTCTGGAAATGCATTTGCCATCTTACAGTAGGATAACTTATCTACCACTTTCCCATCTCAAACGTACTCTTGCCAATTTACAAAAGAAGCCAGATATACTAAGTAATTGGTATAACAGAGGTTTATGACACCTTAAATCTACCATCTTCATTTTCTCCAGAACAGCTCTGCATCATAACAAAAAGCTCATTTTAAGACAAAGAAGGGGATAGTTGCATAAATCCTACACACAGTTGTCTGAATGTTCTTACAGGACAGCTTGAACAGGGGAAGGAAGCCCACAGCCAGCCATTAACTAGTCAGTGGTCAGCAGAGGTAAATGCTCCTTTTGACTGCAGTTGAGACGACAGAAAGCTATGTTACTTTGCTGAAAAAGGAAAGAGGTCAACTTTCCCACGCATTACCATTCCAAGTGCTTGAATTAAAAAGTGATGGAGCAATACAAAAAATATCAAAATAGCCACAAATTACTTCCTGCTGTCAGGCCCCTGCTGTTTAGCATACTATCACCTGCTGTCCAAACAGTTTTTTCTGAAATGTTATACTGCTGTTCATGAAACATGAGAAAGTTATAAAAATGTCTCTTTGAGATTAAAAAAAGGGGATGGACCATCATAAAAAGTGATGGTGAAAAAACCAACCTACAAGAACCTTACACATCTCTCATTTCTTTATCTTCCTGAGATTTTGCTCAGGCACCATCACAAGCTGCACCACCATCAATCACTAAGACATCTATGCTTGTAAATTACACTAATTTTCTACCTGGTATAACTTGGTTTTCCCTAATAAATTGTCTGCAGCTTGGTTTATTCAACTTGTTAAATTCGGTTTTGACAATCTTAGAAAAAGGCACTAGGGGACAAAATTACCAATAAAAGAGTGGGAGGCATTCCAAAGTGATAAATGTTACAGGTAGTCCTCATTTAGCGGCTGCCTCATTTAATGACCATTTGCAGTTACAATGGTGATGAAAAAAGTAACTTTGTGACCAGTCTTCACATTTATGACCTTTGCAGATCTATAAAGCAGAGGAAAGCTGAAGTAAGATCATAAGCACAGTCGCAGTTTCACTTAGTAACAGCCTTGCTTAATGACTGAGTTGCCAGTCCCAATTGTGGTCACTAAATGAGGACTACCTGTATCAATTTATAGAGAACATTCAAAGAATCAAGAATTCTTGACAAATAGTTCACTTCTGAAGATACTAGAAGTCATAACTTTGTAGTTTCACAACAGATGACTATTTGCACACATTTACACAGTTCTCAATTCCAATTGATCCACATGCCTTCCAATAGTATTCATAAGCTACATATCTGCCACTAATACTTTTCTGCTTTTGTTCTTAAACAGAATTACCTGTGGAATTCCTTGGGAGGACATGACTGCTTGGTTATAGAAAATCCTACCAAAGTGATCACGATCAGGAAACACTTCTGCCTGGCGAGGCAAGTTGGCACCTCCTGAATCAACTAAGTTCAAATAAAAATTGAGCATTAACAACTGGCATTTTCCTAAAGTCTTATTTAAAAGTATTGCTCCCTTTGAGGATGGCAGAGAGTCCTTAGAGGAAGCAATAGCACAGACAGGTCTGGAGAAGGAGATTAAAAAGCAGACTTGATTTATTTCTCTGCCCAAAGTTCATAATCTGCCACTGTCATTGCTACAAGGCAAACTGGAGCTGTTTCACGGCAGTTACTTGGATGAAGGGATTTCCTCACCTCCAATCCAGAATCCTTTATCTAAGCCACCTCCATCCAAATCCTATAAAGGAAAGACAAAAAGAGAAGATCCCAAGGCCTGAGAAGGAAAAGCTAGGCAGTTTTAGTGCAATCATGGATTGCTTAAGGCCATTCCTTTCATCTGCCCGTTAGATGTGACTGCCGTTTTCAACTAAACAATAAAACAAAACATTGAAACACAGTTAATAGATATTATTACAGTGGAGATATTTCATGTCTCTTGCCCACTGTAATGTTTTCCAATGTTCTACAACCTATAATACAGTATATACTAAATCCAACTTCTGCATCTTTATTCTACCCTTGTTGTATTTTGGAAGTTAAGATACAGATACATATTTTAGGCATTATGCCAAACAGTGATTGACAGTAAGCATTGTTTAGAACTCAATAGCACTGTTTAAACTTTCAAACCAGAAGTGTAGATTCAACTCAACTCCAGGAAATATGGTCAATTTTAGGGGTGCTTATCCAACAATCTATGTTCTATGTATACTCTATAAGTTATAGTTATTATTCTGCCTTTTTTTTTAAAAGACTGGGCACTTGGCTTTAAAAATCCATTCCCACCACCCGTAGTGTATCAGCCTCTTGGAGGACAAAGTGAAGCTGTAATTATGGTTTGCCATTATATGTAAATTGACAGACCATTCAGACATTACAACAAACCATAATCCTTACAAATCCAGATTTTCAAACTCAGTTCAAACCAATTTTCTATATTGGTTTCCAATCAATTATAAATCATGTTTTTGCCAATTCAAAGACAATGTTGTTAATTATATTACATTCTGCCACTGAATTAAAAAGCATTGTGGCTTTATAGCCAAACTGCAAGATAAGTTACAGTAGACATTGTGTGTCATAACAGTAGCCTCTTACAAAATAAAATGTGCCTCAAAACTTAGCACTTACCTAAGTATACACAAGGGAGATGGTTTTGCATTGCAATTTCTTGAGCACGCAAATGCTTCTTTACAGTAATTGGATAATAGGTTCCACCTTTGACAGTTGCATCATTGGCAATAATCAAACACTCCACTCTGAAATTCAGTTTTTAATAGTTACAGGTAGTCCCCAGTTTAAGAATGAGTTCTGTTCCCAAGGTCTGTCCTTAAGATGAATTTGTATGTAAGCCAGGACAGTATTATTGTATAATACTGTATGAGTTAGGGTAATTAATTAATTAATTAATTAATTGTGTAATTAACTCAAAACACTGTGTATTTAACTAGAATCATTGTGTATTTAACTCAAATTTTGCTATAATAGGCTCTGTTGTTAACTATGGGTGATCCTTAAACAGGACGTTCTTAACCCAGGGACTACCTATAGTTGAGAATATCCAAAATTAATTGTATAATCATTAAAATTAATGAAACTTTCATTGAAATGTGAGCTTACATTAGCAGTTCCAAACTTATTTAGTAAGAGATTCCATTATACTTATTATATATTACTACTCTTAAACAAGTCCTCACCATGATGTTTTCTATATCTACTATAGCAAGCAGAGGACTCCGCTTTTCCTTAGAGGAATCTTCAAGAATCACCCACGTTATATACCACGGTGACATTCAAATGTGAAAGATATCAGTCACTGCTGAAAAAAGCTCTACTACAGCCCATATGAAGTAAGTGAGAAGCATTTCTGGCCAGCAGAGCAACTCACAATTTGTGATGGGATGTATCTACGAGGAGGAGAGTGATGTGGGAGGTCAAGGCTATCAGGAAGGAGGGGGTACATTCCAGGAGGGGAAAGGAGACAAGAGGCAACACAGTCCGCAAGGTGAGTGTGAGAAGAGTAAGAGATTCAGGATAGCCACCCCCTAGAATCTCTTACTCTTCTCACGCTCCCCCTGCGGACTGTGTTGCCTCTTGTCTCCTTTCCCCTCCTGGAATGCACCCCTTCCTTCCTTGATCTCCCACATCACTCTCCTCCTCATAGATACATTCCATCACACAATTGCAAACACAGACACAAGGCTAAGAATACTGTAAAGCTAAAACACTGAATGACAACTATCTCTTCTAAACTCTTCTAAAGGCTACAAGTCCCACCATGAATAATTTCAATTAATTAAATCATTATTTTAACACTATGCTTATTCTAATAGCAACACAATTCTTTGTCATCATTTCATGTAGACCCATTACAGCCAAGACCGAGGTTTGTGGCATTCTTGCTGTTACTGGACTAGTACTACTCCGAGCATCCTTCACCATTGGCCATGCTGGCTGGGCTATTAGGACTTGTAGTTTAGCAAAATATCAGACAGGGCACCGACTGTCATCCGTACATTAAATTACAGCTTTTTCGGATATATTAATAAAAGACCCTCTTTGAGTCATTCTTCCTTGTTTGATTTGGAGTGACTGTTTAATGTAGGGACAAAGATTTTTGGCCTTCCAGATGTCTTGCTACAATTGCTAAAAACCACAATTTTTAACAGCCATAGGCAGCATGGACAACTGCCTAACCATGAAACTCAAATAAAGGCTTGATAATTTGTCAACAATGCAAATTATTCGCTCAGTAGAACTGACAATATACAAATGCTGATACAATATTATTGCATATTAATGACGCAAACTAAAAGGCAAGGCAAATTAAAATACCATAGTAAAAGCAGAAATGAAACTAACAAACACGCAAAGCAATATAGCAGTAGCAGTTCTCACCCCGACACTCGCCCAATGCCTGTAATGATGCCTCCTGCTGGCACTTCTTCATTGCCATACAGCTGATAACCTGCAAACTGGGAGAACTCCAGGAATGGAGATCTAAGAAGAGAGAAATATTCTGAATGTTAGTCATATGAAGAATCCTCATCTGATTAATATTAGCAGGTATACACTGTTTAAGCTTAGTATAATAACCCACCAGCATTGAGTATCTGGTTATCAGAACCCAGATGCAGTGGGTGGAACACATCATCCAACTGGATGACCACTGTATGCTTTGCCAGTTGCTCTATAATGTACTGGGGTCTGGGAAGAGACCTCGAGGTCAACCACGCAAGTGCTACAAAGACGCTGTGAAAGAAACCCTACACCACTGTGATATCCAGCCAAGGGAACTAGAAGCTGCAGCTGCTGACAGAACCCATTGGTGAGCCCTGTGCTATGAAGTCTCCACTGGTTTTGAAGACAGAAGCCACCAAAAACTGACAGAAACCATGAGCGTTGTCTCAAAATAACACCCACAGTTACTACAATAATGGAATTCCAGCACCCCCGTTACACTAGACTCTGCGCTTCCAGATTGGGAATGCAAAGCCACCTCCATGTCCACAGATCAACTGCACAATAGAGTGTCTTCTTCGAACCCAAAGAACTACTAATGGATAATAACCTAACTCCAGAAAAACACTGACTTATTTTGGAATTCTAGCCCACCTTTCCATTCTGACCGAGGAATGCTCACAGTGACTACCACATACATTACTACTAACAGTAAATGATAATTTTAACTGATTCCAAAATTATAAGCATCTTAGGTAATTTTAAATCATTTAATATTAAAACAGAAAAACTGGAAATTTATGCATCCTATGTTAAAACAATAATAATGAAATAGCAAATACATACCCGGGATCTGTAAGTTTGTCAATTCTCTCTCTAGGTAACAATTTTCCTCTTGATGTGTGCAGGTTCCGTGACTTCTCTCCACCACCTGTCATGCAAGACCTTTGATCATTTAAATGCTTGCATGTATATATAAACATTTACCATTATCAAGTAGACATTCACAGATAATACACATAATTGTTATAATATTCTCTGAATACTTAATTTCTGTAATGTCACCTCTTGTAATACCAATTTAACCTTTCCTGTGCTTGTACAAATGCAATCAAAACCACTCTTCTCACATAGGAAGAGTTTATTGGCAAACACAGCAAGGAACCTCAAATATCTCAGTGATAACTGAGAGGCATTAAATTGTGAGACTCAAGGGGTAGAAAGCAAGAAGTAGGAGAGAAAAAGAATTGAGTGAAGTTCCTAAACATACATAGATATACAAAGACATCTTCTGTAGCAGCCCCAGCACAGGGGAACATGTTGCCCCTACAGATATATACAGCCTCTGCCCTATTGACATTTCAGAAGGTGCTTAAGACCATTCCTTTTCAGTGTGTCTTTGATCTAGAAGAAGATTTGGAGCAACCATCTAGTTTTCCTTATTCTTAAGTTTATGTTGTTCCTATTACTTTGGGGCAATTTATAAAAAATTCTAAAATACACAAAGTATAAAACTAGCCAGCATATTTATGGACAGATCACCTTCTTGTTCAGAACATAATTTTAGATGTCCCCATAGTAGAAATTGAAAGATGTGATAGTAATCAATGGACACATCATAGATTGGAATATTAAATGTGTTTCTACTCCCAAGAAACTGCAAAGTAGAAAAAGAGAGCAAAAATGGAGGAAGAGAAGATCCTACAATGGGATAAGGACTTGCGGCTCAGTGGCCACAGAACATTAACTATTGGTGGGAGAATTGTTGTAGCTCCTAACTCTATCTTTCTATGATAATCTTTTCATGTATAATTCTCATATATCTTTTCCTTTAGTAAGATCTTTAGTAAGATCTTCCTGAATTCTGTTAACTGTTAAAAAAGGAGACATGCCTTTTCTGCTGTGGCACCTGCCCTCTGGAACATCGTCCCTCCTGAGATTAGGATGGTCCCGACCCTTTTGGCTTTTTGGAAGGCCTTGAAGACCTGGCTTTATGCCTGGGCCTGGGCCCCCAAGTGTGTGAAGGGCCCCATTTCATGGTTGTGCTGATACCAACAGTTTTTTACGATCTCTTGCCTGTATTTATATTTATATTTAATTTTTTGTACTGTACTGTTTTAAATGTTGACTGTTTTTATTGTTGTTAGCCACCCAGAATCATTGGTCTGAGATGGGCAGCTATATAAATAAATAAACAAACAAATCCATACTAGCCATTACCATTAAAGTATTATCTATACTAGCATTACCATTAAAGTTTCCTCAAGTCACCCTTGCCACTCACTTCAACTTTCTGTTATCTCTCCTCAATGTTTATTCAAGTCTAATGGCCCGTAGACAGGGATGAATAAGTGTTAGCTACATTAACACTTTAATACAAATTAAATCATTAAATTATACTATTAGAACTTTAAGACAGCTTTCCTATGGTACTCTAAAGATGTACTGGACTGGACTGCACTGCTGATTGGAAAATATGGGAGTTGTAATCCAATATATCCAGGAGACAACAAGCTGGGGAAGACTGTCTTAAACACTGTTAGTTTTGAGAACCAACCAACCAGACTCTAGTATGAGATGTACTAATAAGAAAAAAAAATGCATTCATACATACCTAATCTAATTTTTTCGGATTGTCTTTTCAGCTCTGTTACTAAAGCTTTCATTCGCTCATAATTTTCCTGTTGAGGAATAATCATAAATAAGGAAATGTGCACTCTTTCCAACATAAGTTAATAAGTTAGAAAAATGTTTAAAGACATAATCCTTCTTCCTGTCCTTTATAGATTATTTAACCTTTATAAACCATATTTTCAAAATATATTCCTTAAACATAATTATTAAATAATTTGAACTGGATTTAAAATAACATCCATTCTTTTTCTCTTTGTACATTTTCCTAGGCTGGGAATCCTAATTTACTTCCAGTATTGAAACCTCCAGGAAACCTCAATGTCCAGAAATGAAGATGCAAGCCTATTAATTAACAACTGTAATGTGTTAAAAATCCATTGTGTTTGTTAAGACATTCAGAGATAGTCTGAAACTTTTTATGTATGCGAGTTCAGCAATCTCTTGTTCAACTGTGCTGGTAAAGTTTATTTTTTCCAAGATGACTACTTTGAGATCTGTAATGGATTATCCTAGAAGGATGAAATGCTCAGATGTTACTTGTTTTGAGTCCCAATGTTAAACTTACGTCCATTAATTCTTCTGCACAAAGTTTGGCCTGTTTGTCCTACAGAGGAATCCAGAGGGGCATTGCTGGCATATGTGGCATATATCACATAGGGGAAGAGCTTCTAATCTTGTGTATGAAGTTGTTGGGACTTGTGATGGTTTTGTTGATGTAGATGTGGGAACAAAGTAGACATCTGGGTTGTTTCAGGGTCTGGTTCCCATGTTAGCAACACTGTTTGGTTGTTTTTTGTTCCAAGTGAGAATCTACATGATTGTTCTGCCTTCCGCCTTCCCTTCCTTCCTCTTTTCCAGCTCATCCCAGTTTACATCCTACATTATGGTTTTCAAACTATGTTCTGCAGAACCATAGGGTTCCATCAGAATTTAATGGAGTTTCATGAGAGACTAAGAACCCCAAAAAAACAAAAGGTTCATTCAAATGCAGTCAATTTTCCATCACTAAAGCTTTGCTTCTTGATCAGGGTTCCAGGATTTTTTTAAAAATATTTTTTACTGAAAGTTTTAGCAATAATAAAAGATAATACAAACCAAATTCAGAAGAGAGAGAAAATAAAGAAAAAGAATAGAAAGTGCAAAGAAATAAAGAGAGAAAGAAATTAAAAAGAAAAGAGAAACAGCTAAAGAAATGACTTCCAATGCTCATCACAACAGTACAGGCAAACTTATTTCTTCCCCCCATATAAGGCTGCATGCCTATATTTCTTCTTCCTGTAGCCCATCTTTTATCCATTCGCAAATCCATTAATCATTAGTTGTCAGCAAAAAGTCTATAAAGGGGTTCCAGAACTATCAAATTATATCTTGTTTGAACCCTGGTCAAACAAATTGGCTTTTGCTTCTAACAATCTTAGTCTTTGATCCATTCAAATGCTGTTATAGGTTTTGATCCTCCTTCCTTTCCTTCTCCCATCTCTGAAGCTGCTTCAAGACTTTAGCAACCCTCTTTGTAAATCCATCAAGAAGTTGTATCCAGGTCATTATCTTGGCTTGTCATTTGTATTTGTACTTTAACTGCCATCCTATAATCACCATTTCTTTATTTTCTAGGAAATCTTCATAAGCTTGTTTCACTTCTTCATCCTGTAGGACTTTCAAAGTATTTTCTTTGACAACATTCCTTTCTTCTTTTGTGAATAATACATTCATATAAGTAAGCATTATTTCTGGCATTCTAGCTACAAGTTTCTGTCCTCGTTTTTCAAAGTATCTTGAAATGACTCAAATTTCACAGCATTATCTGTCATTTTGTGCTTACTGTCCAATTCAAAAATGAGAGGCAGACTTTTTTCTTTTCCTGCCTGGAGTCTTTAGTCCCCCGCCCCCCGTGACTAATTTCTGAAATCATAAAGGCTTGAATCTCTATTAGTTTGATAGACTAAACAAAATAGCATTCCTATGAATCCTTCCTATTCAAGACTTATTTCCCAAACCTTTTAGCAGAAGTCCTAAGGTTCCAAGTTTTTCTGGCCCCTTAGTCCATTTATAATGTTTCCTAAATTAAATTCTTATTTAGCTTTTTACTATTTGTTTCTATTTCTTAGTTCTTAAGCTTATAGTTATTTTTTCTTTTGTTCAAGAACAAAGGTAAACTCAAGAGGTGGCTTTTCAAACTTGTTGTTTTGAAGAGCTCTAATATCCTTAATGGGGACGCGGTGGCGCAGCAGCTTAATGACGCTGAAAGTTGCTGGCCAGAAATGGTTGACGCTTCAGCGGTTCGAGTCCAGCCGTCGTGTTCGCACGTAGACATTATCATTCCTCACCTGTTCCTGTAAACCCAACAGTACGAAAGCTCACGTGAGTAATAAATGGGTCCTCTCACTCTGGTGGGAGGAAAAATGCTGGCGGCACCTTGCAAAAAGGAGTCGGGAGCAGTTGCCGGTAAGTGGGAAAAACCGTGCGCGCCCGAAAAGGGCGCGAAGGGAGATGAAGGGAATCACCATGGTCTCAGTCACGATGGAGCCTTTTAAAGGACACGGGAGATGAAGGGAATCACCATGGTCTCAGTCACGATGGAGCCTTTTAAAGGACACGCCTTGAAAACTGCAAGGACTCGTCCAAGCAGTCACTGCAGAGTCGGTAACGACTGAGCGCAGATTAAAAAAAAAAATCCTTAATATAGTTAAATAGGTAATTTCCAAAAGGGATTAGAAAGTGAGGTTAGTGAACTCAGTGTCCTTTAAAAGGCTCCATCGTGACTGAGACCATGGTGATTCCCTTCATCTCCCGGTGCTCAAACCTGTGGGAAACCACTGTTGTGGTCTCTTTGTGAGGAGCTGCTGTTCAGAGCACAAGTGAGTGATCTCCCATCCTCTCCTTATCCAGAGAGGTTCCATGGGACCAGTCTACTCACTGGTCCTATGGTCTTTGCCGCGGACGTTGTCTCTGCTTGAACAGAAATGTGCTAGTTCACCATTTCTCACCCAGAGATCCAGGGTTCCAGCAAATTTTTTAACTAACAGGTTCCATAACCTGAAAAAGTGTGAAAATCCCAACCCTACATCAGTCTAGCCACTGCACTGCATCAGTTGAAGTGAGCTGTAGGACACAAAAGCTTATGCCTTTCCATAAAATTTGTTAGTCTAAAAAAATGCTACCAAGCTACTACTGTTTTTTGGTTACCATAGACCAGTGTTTCTCAACCTTGGCAATTTTAAGATATGTGGACTTCAACTCCCAGAATTCCCAAGCTAGCCTTGCTGGCTGGGAAATTCTTGGAGTTGAAGTCCACACAGCTTAAAGCTGCCAAGGTTAAGAAACACTCCCATAGACTAACACAGCTCTCCTCCTATAATGTATAACATGAAAATCAAACTCTTTTATGGTTAAAAAAAAAAATTGCTAAGTCACTCCAAAGGAGCACCTTTACTTTAGAGGTTTACAAAGCCTTTCAAACTGGCAGAAACTCTACAGATTAAGAAAGGTTTCTGAAGGGCAGATCAGGCTTGCAGCATGTGAGGAAAAAACTGAAGGATCATATAAAGGACAAACACAAGGTTCTTGCAATAACCTTTTGGGACTATGCAGACAGGAAAATACAAGTTTAAAAGGGGGGATTTATAAAAGAAACCTAATGAATTAACATCCCAGCCTACTAAAATCATGGTCATGGGAAGAAAACTGTTATATAATAGTTTATGACACCACAGGGGTCAAATTACTTCAGAAGCGAATCCCCTCCCCACTTCAACTAGTCAACTGCTTCTAGTTTGGAAAGCATAATGTAGCCATCATCAACCGTAGTTCACCATTAATTTGTCTAAAGCAGCCCAAATTAACGGTGTCACTCAATTTTGTGGAAGATAATCCCAAAATAAAACTATGTAGTCTTTTTAAAAAATGTTTCTTTTTCTTTGTTCTTCTCATCAATCAGCTTAATCAGATGACTCTCATTTCATTAATATGAGAGAGTAAAACTAATGCACAAAGATGGAAAGATTCAGCAATACCTACAATGGAAGAATGGCTGGTGAAGAAGATGGAACTCACTGAGATGGCCAAATTGACTTCTTTGATCAGAGAAAAGACATTTATTGCTGATTGGAAACCCCATATGGACTTTTTGTGGAAAACAAAAAAAATGAACTTATGATTTATGGTTTTGAGGATTAGACAGGATAGATTATTGAAAGAAGACAGACACGTTGTAACTTTAGAGAAAGGGGTAAATTTATAATTGTCCTTATAATTGCTGTAAAGATCAGAAGCCACTTCTTTGTATTTTTTTTCTTTTCTATTTTTCTTTTCCTTTTTTTTTGTTTCTTGCACTTTTAGCTTTCTCTTTGATTTTTCTTTTTTATTTCTTATTTTATATTAGTTTGTATTAGTTTTTATCTTCCTTTTTAAATTTTTTAATAAATTTATTTTAAAAAGAGAGTGATAATAAAAATAAAAGCTCTTCGTTAACTGCTTTCTCCATTTCCTAAGTCCTCCTTCAGTTGCCTTATCTCTGGTCCAAAACTACCCAGATGTTGTAGCCATTCCTCATAGGAAAGTCTTGGTTAGTCAACTCCACACTTTTCATAATACCAAGTCAGGCTAATATGCTGTTGGATATCAACCATAATGATACTGCATAAATTTAATGCAATATTCCAAAGAATATTGGAAGATTGTTTCTGGGAGAGAAAAAGAAGAATAGCTGGCAACTTACATCTTACATTTCATTTGAAGCTTAACCATCAAACCATGCTCACAGAGAAATAAAGAGGATAATATAGAGAAGACATAAGTGAGAATTCAAGTATGATAGACTAAATGAAAGATCATCTGCACAATTCATGGATAAAGTCTTAATTAAAAGATCCTATTTTCTCAATACATTTTCACAATGGCTATGTAAGAGATTATGGGCCTCTGTTTTTACCACCTTTCCTGAGATAGATCCACTGAAGACACATGGTTCTTTAAACAATCATCCCAAAACACTGAAAGCAAGTACTTTTTGAATACCATGGAAGAGAACTATAACGTATTAAATCATATTTGGTTGACAGGTGGATAGAATATTTTATCCCTGACTTAGCCTCTAGCAGTGCAAACAACACAGTACTATATATAGAAATAAAACTTTTGTTCATGAGTAAGCCAAAATCAGGATATAAATATTGTATGCAATAACATATTGCATACTGAATTTGAGGCTATATCTTGTACAGCCAAATAAAAATCATAACTTTATCCTAGCATATTAAAAAAAAATCACAGGCTATTGTCAGGCTTATGCATTATAATCAGGATCCAAAGAGCTACTCATTTTCAAGTCCTTCAATAAGAAAAAAAAGATTTGAGTATTTGGGTTTTTGAGCATTTTAAAAAATCCCAACAATCTCAAAAGTAGCTTTCTATATACAGTAAAGATGTCTGTTTGGAAGAAACACAAGTGCAGAGATACAAGATTGTTTTGATACAATATTGTACAAGCAAGCTTCAGTTGCACAAATTCTGGCCCTTCCTTCATATGTCCAACTCCCTGCTTTACATATGAATCAAGCAAAGCACAATAGCTTACTACATACAGCTTGGCAAATTACAAATCAGAACTGAAATCATAGTCTGAAGAGCAAACCAGCTTGCCAATTTGGATACCACAGTAAACAATGATCTAATGAAAACCAAATATTAGTGAGAGAACTTGAATAACTAAACTCAAACTCATTTGTGCAATGGCTAGACGTAATTGGAGATCTATATATAAACTAGATCTTTAGATTTAATGAATCATATGAAATAATTGGATTCTTCAAACAAATGTATCTTAATGTTACATAGTCACAGCAAACACAACTGCTTCTATTTCAGTTTGGCAATTTTAGAGAAACTGAGTGTTAACAATTTAATTATTAATCACATAGAACATACGCTGGAAATCTGCTGCAATTTCTGTGTACTCAGTACAATACTACGTCTTGGGATTTCAGAAATTAAATACACTTACTGTCCCACCAAATTACATTCATATCTATTTCGTCTAGAAGTTTATCTTTCACCCTCTCTTGTTAAATTTGCAGAGAAGGACGAACAACTAAGGGCAAATAAGGCAAACATGATCTTTTATCCTGTACCTTCTTCAAGTTTGCATCATTCTTTGTGTTGCACTTGCTCAGGGCAGAGAATCTTCATGTTGAAACATTCTTCTAATTACTGTAAATTTGCAACAGTTAATAAACAGGCCATCCTACTTCCTGAATGATATACAGATGGAATCATGTAGATTGGTTTAATTAAACAAGATATACTTTATCACAGTCAGTAACCAGTCCAGATTTGTTTAATAAGCATTGTTAGATACAGTGGGTCAACTTGATCCCTTAGCCAAATCTTCTTCATAACTGTTTTAAAAACTATGAACCAGACCACACTTACAGTCAAATCCTACAGAATTCAAGGTGCCAACTATTTTCACAAGAGGGCCCATTTCAGGAAGGATCAGAGGCCTTCCCATTCTCTAACACAGCCTTTCAGACAATCCAACTGCCATAGCCACAAAGGCCTCTATGCAACCCTCCTGTCTTTAGTTTGACAACCATGTACTTCTCAGAAGGCTAGATATGGTCTTCAGCCATTAGCTTGCAGGTTCTACCATGGGAAACCAGACACACGGACTTCAGCATACCTGCTCGCAAGTAGGACCTGTTCAAATAAATTCTAAAGATAAAATACATTTCAGATTGATCCCAAGACAGGCAAACTAACTATAAACATGGAAAACACATATATTGCACATCATTTATTTTTTCACACAAGAGAAAATTCTGAAGTCTAAAGGAAAAAATGTTTTTTTCTCAGTAGAAAAAAACTGGAGAGCCAGTTTGGTGTATTGGTTAAGGCATCAGACTAGAAACCGGGAGGCCGTGAGCTCTAGTCCTGCCTTAGGCACAAAGCCAGCTGGGTGACCTTGGGCCAGTCACTCTCTCTCAGCCCTGGGAAGGAGGCAATGGCAAACGACTTCTGAAAAACCTTGCCAAGAAAACTGCAGGGACTTGTCCAGGCAATCACCAGGAGGCAAAAACTGATTTGAAGGCACCAAAAACAGAAAAAAAGAAAACACAATCCTGAGCAATGGCAAACCACTTCTGAAAAACCTTGCCAAGAAAACTGCAGGGACTTGTCCAGGCAATCACCAGGAGTCAAAAACTGATTTGAAGGCACCAAAAACAGAAAAAAAGAAAACACAATCCTGAGAAACCTGAGTTAAAGCCCACTTTATATAAGGTGTAAAATCCTTGTACTCTAATATAAACACTATATAGCAGAATTTGGGTTTGAAGCTGGGTCAATTTCAGCAACACGTAACAGTTTCTTGAGTAGTCGGGACTCACAGCAAAGTATGTGCATTTAAGGGAACCCAGTGGCTGAAGGCCAAAAATCTACTTTGCTCAGAACTGAATTATGAACCTATGTCCCTTTTTTTCAAAAGCAAAAGCAGCATCACTATTATCTATTGTAGCAACATTAGCCTAGAGCTTCCTTTTTGGTTTAATTTGAGGCATTGTCAGTTGCCTGCCTATGGCAATACTGATGGAGAAAAAGAGACGGAAAAAAAAAATCTTTTAAGCTAGGTTGAGGACTGGAGATATTTCTGGAGGCAATGCTGCCTTCAATGAGAAGAGCAAAGTACTGAGAAATATCACTGCTCTAGTCCTCCAAGGGACTTTCTCGTGTCTTTTGGTGTTAGCAGAACTCACAGAAGGAAAAGGAATTCAGAGGTAATCAGGTCCAGCCTGCTGCCCAGGGCAGGGTGTCGCTGCAGTATCCCTAACAGCTGGCCTTCCAGTCCAGTCCAAGAAAACAACTTGGTTGGAACTGGCCGAGGAATGGGGGCGGGGAAGAGGTGTTTTAAGATTAGATCGACAAGTCGGTGATCCTTAAAATTGCCACTGCCTTTCCAAAGGCTACACGCTCTCTAAAATTTCGCAAGGGAAGTTCTGCCCAACTTTTGTTCAGATGTCACTTTTATCGAGAAACCCATTCTTCTGTGGACTTACGACTATTATGTAGCGGCGCAAAATGAAAGCAGAGCTCTTACCAAAAAAAAAAAAAAAAAAGGTTCGAAGCCCACCCAAAGCCTGCAGCGGATGATCTCCAGCAACTACACGCTGGAAGTGTTCACCGCACTCCTCTTCCTTGGCCTACCTGATAGAGTGGGGAGGCGACTTCGGGCTGCGAACCCACAGTGGCCACCTTGTCCCCGTGATAAGCACGGCGGAGCGCCGCTGCAGCTGCCCGCGGGCAGC